AAAAGACATGTAAGTTTTTGTTGTTGTTTTTTAATTTTTTTAATGTTTACTTTTGAGAGAGGACACACATAAAAGATCTGCTGTGTGGCTGTTTTGGTTTTTTTTTTTAAGATTTATTTATTTTTGACACACACACAGCATGAGCCAGGGAGAGGCAGAGAGAGAGACACACACAGAATCCAAAGCAAGCTCCAGGCTCTGAGCTGTCACCACAGAGCCCAACGCGGGGCTCAAACCCACAGACCGCAAGATCATGACCTGAGCCGAAGTCGGAGACTTAACCAACTGAGCCACCCAGGTGCCCCAAAAAACAGATGAGTTTGACTTCATGAAAACTTTAAAATTTTGTGCATCAAAGGAAATTATCAAGAAAATGAGAAGTCAACCCATAGAATGGGTGAAAATACTTGCAAATCAAATATCTGCTAAGGGTTCAGCATCCAGAATATATGTAGAACTTCCACAATTCAACAAAAACAATCCAATGAAAAATTGGCAAAGAACTTGAAAACACATTTTTCTAAAGAAGATATACAAACAGCCAATAAATACATGAAAAGATGCTTAGTATCATTGATCATTAGGGAAATACAAATTGAAACCACAGTAAGATAAATGAAATGTTACATACTACGGCATGAACGAAGCTTGATCACAGCATGTGAAATAAGCCAGACACGAGCAAATATAATGTGATTACATTTGTTTTGTTTTTTTTTTAATGTTTCATTTATTTCTGAGGGAGAGAGAGACCGCGTTAGCAGGGGAGGGTCAGAGAGAGAGAGACACACAGAATCCAAAGCAGGCTCCAGGCTCTGAGCTAGCTGTCAGCACAGAGCCTGACGGGCTCGAACCTATGAACCGTGAGATCATGACCTGAGCAAAAGTCAGACGCTCAACTGACTGAGCCCCCCAGGCACCCCTATGTGATTCCATTTGTATGGAATATGGATAGTAGGCAAATTCAAAGAGACAGAAAGTAGAATCGTGGTTACCAGAGCTGAGGGAATGGGGAAACAGTTATTGCTTACTTCTTAGCATTTGTTTGCGGTGCTGAAAAAGTTTTGAAAATAGTGGTGGTGATGGTTATCCAGCACTGTGAATGCATGCAATGCCACTGAATTGTACACTTAAAGATGGTCAAAAAGGCAAATTTTAAATTGCACGAGAAGGCTGACACCATAAATTCTGGTGAGGATGTGGAAGCACCAAATTCTCATACGCAGCTAGTGGGAATATGAAATGGTACAACTGTTTTGAAAAACAGCGTGGCAGTTTCTTAAAAAGTTAAGTACACGTCTCCTGCATGACTCAGCAATTCCACACCTAAGGTCTTGCTTAAGGAGATGAAAATGTGTCCACACAAAAACATTTACATAAGTGTTCATGGCAGCTTTATCTATGATGCCCCAGAAATGAAAACAGCTTAGTTCCTACCACTACATAGAATACTATCTGGCAATAAAAAAACACAAACATGTGAGTTTACAAGTGATATGGATTCATCTCAAAGTCATTATTTGAGTGAAAGAGGCCAGCAACGGAAGAGTGCCTATCATGTTTCCATTTATATAAAATTTTAGAAAATGCAAACTAATTCACGGAGACAGAAACAGATCAGTGGTTCCCTGAGGGGCAAAGGTTGGCAGTTGTGGACCGCAGAGTCACAGGGCAACTTTCTGGATGGATGGAAATGTTACATATCTTGAGTGTGGTCATTAATCTCACAGGTATATATATCTTTCAAAATGCATTCGGTTATACAACTTCTTTTTTTAATTTTTTTTTTTTTTTTAGTTTAGTTTTGAGATAGACAGAGCATGAGCAGGGGAGGGGCAGAGAGAGACACACACACAGTGAATCTGAAGCAGGCTCCAGGCTCTGAGCTGTCAGCACAGAGCCCAGTGCGGAGCTCGAACTCACGAACCATGAAATCATGACCTGAGCTGAAGTCGAACGCTTAACCGACTGAGCCACCCAGGCACCCCTGTTTATACAACTTCTACAGATACAGTTATGTGTATAGATTATATCTCAATATAGTTGTGGGGTTTTTTAATTCATTGTTGTGCAGTGTGTGGCTTCATGGCATCTCAAGGTGTTACAAGGGGCCAGGGAATCCATACTGCCTCTCTGAATACCTTATTCCCTTCCACTGATGTTGGTTCATCAGGCGACGCAAAGATGACAGCTTCCAAGGACCACCCCTCATTTCTACAAGACCCAACTACTCATGTGGCCACTTATAAAGTATTGCAATAAGGTCACTAGTTCAAAATGCCCTGATTTCACTCCTAATTTCTATCCAGGGCTTTTAGATCCCTCTGGTTCCTTCTGAAATAGTGAGATGGTGAGTTAAAACTATGTTGTTGTTTTTTTCCTACTCAATACAGCAGTCCAAGTTCCAAACCCAATCTAATTATAGATATTCTGTAAGGACAACACGATCTTCCTCTCTCTGGCGGAATGCATTGATCAAAAGTGAGGTTTTGTGATTTTAGTGCTTTTCTTAATTGCCTTGGACCAAGGGTCAGGAAGGAGATATGTACTCAGGGAGCAGAGAAGGCTCACATCATTCACGGGAATAATCACAGCCCCTGGTTCTTCTTTTCCAAATACAAGACTGGGGTTGGACAAGATCCATACAAACTAAACAAAGAAGAAACAGATCCTCGCCTAAGCTTCTGGTGTGATAGAAACTTGGTCCAAAAGTGACTGCACATATAGGCAATCTGCTTCCCCCCTGCTCCATTTCATTTTTTCGTGATTGGAAAAACTAAATTGTTGGGATGGGGATTGTAGTTTGGTCAACCCTGGAGAAGAGAGTCAGGATAGGATGGGCTGGTGTTACACAGGAGCCGAAGGAGGGAGGTGGTCCCAAAGCTGGAGTCTCATTGATGAACGAGATGACACTAACGGGATGTGTCAGCCTGCTATGGGGACTTCAGTTGTCTCATCTATGTAATTTCTAAAACAATGTCAAACCACTCTGATTGTGGCTACCCAAACATTTCATTTTCCATCGTTGAGAAAAGACTGTAGCTGTTGGGTTGCAGCGGTTGGGATGGGGTTGGATGGGGGTCCTTTGAAGCTGTTCATGGAAGTAAGAGTAGAATACACCGGTTGATCCAGACTGTGAAGTTCTCACCGTGCCCAACGCCCCCTTCTGGAGGAGAGACGACCACAGGTGCTCTGGGGCAATATCCTTTATGACAAGGGCTCCTGTACGAGGTGACCTGGGAAGCAGTCTACTGCCTGGAAATCAAGAGAAACCAAGCTAGGGGCACTTGGGTGGCTCAGTCAGTCAAATGTCCTACTTCGGCTCAGGTCATGATCTTGAAGTTCATGAGTTCAAGCCCTGTGTCGGGCTCTGTGCTGACAGCTTAGAGCCTGGAACCTGCCTCAGATTCTGTGTCTCCCTCTCTCTCTGCCTCTCCCCTGCTCATGGTGTGTGTGTGTGTGTGTCTCAAAAATAAATAAATCTTAAAAAAAAAAAAAAAAGCCTAGCCACACAGCAGATCTTATACGTGTTACCTGGCAGTGTAAAATCACAGTATAAACACTAATTTGCTCTGTTGTGTCAGAAATAAACCTAGGATCAAAGCGGCCCCAAGAGGGGTGAGGTGGGGGTTTCGGATAGAGAGAGAGAAAGAGAGAGAAGCAGGGCTCACCCGATGGGGGGGCTGTGTTCACTGGGTGTGTAGGACTCAAACTCATGAACCATGAGATTGTGACTTGAGCCAAACGTGAGAATTTAAGCAGAGCCTAGGCTGGAATGCAAAGACCTTAATGGAGCCTTTCCACCAGAAGTGACAAGTCTCCCGGGTGTGGGTTTGGGTGCCCTCTGTCCGTAAGTGCACGTCTCGCTCTGTGAGCCACACTTGGGAATTGTGTTCTCCGCCCGCTTTCCAGACGGCACCAGCTAGTAACGCACATACGAGATACGGCCTGCACCATCCATCTATGTTAGTTCCGGGGTCAGCTTGTGTTTATTCCGGCCTCGTCCCAGATGTAAGTCTGCTGGCTGTACTCGGCAGCAACTAAATTATTCATTTCCTCCCCTCATGAAAAAAGATGCCTTTTTAATTTGCTGGATTCCTAGGCCTAGCTTTGGATTCCCTGCTTTGCACCAATGACTGTTAGCCCCTCTGCCTTCTTCTTTTCACCCAATGAGACCAGCATGTGACGATGAGAGGTTTAGTCTTCTCGGTCTGACCTTCTCTGCAGGACAGCAAACCCCATTTTCTGCTAAAAATGATTACTTATAAATAGAAGCGCATTGTATTAGCTCTGGCCCAAATCCCTCTGGCCTCTTCCCTTCTGTGCAGGATGATACATTGGCAAAGGGGCGGAAAGAGCAGGTCGGGGAGCAGGCCAGGCCGGTCCCCGCAGAGACACAGCCTGTGTGCACAGATGCCGGCCTCTTGGGCTGAGCGAGCCTCCGTGTGTCCTGGGAAGTCCCCTCCCCAGCTCCTTGGCCACTGCAGACTTTCATATAGGACACAAGAAATGCCACATTCGCCGACACATCTGCAAAGGATTTGGATTTGTCAGAGGACAAGGCAAGTACAAACATAGGGAAAAGCATAAAAGATCATAGAATTATAGAATTCATGCATATTGATGACTCTGTGCATGTGTGTGTGTGTGTGTGTGTGTAAAGTGTCCCCCCATTTAGCTAGTTATCATGCAGTCTAGCAAGGTATAAACACTTAAAGGATCAATAATTTAAATAACAGTAGATACTAAGGGAAAACACTGAAATGGTAAAAGTACAAACATCACAAAGTGCAGGCCTGAGAGTGGGCAAGGTCTGAGACGAGGGATACCTGTCAGCAAAAGCCTTCCTAGGGACAGTGTTCACATGGCCAGCAGCCCCTGGCCCAGCACCTGCATCTCCCTTGCCCCAGAGGCTCAGAGATAATTCTCCTGCGGAACCTTCCACAGCAACCCTTCTGTGACCTCATGTGCTGTGTGGTTTCTTAGCTACATCAGGAGAATGCAGTCAGCCACCGCCTTAGTTCTAGGGTGGCTAATGGGGTACAAGCTCTTCCTCGTCCTTCGCTCCCAAACTATTCCAGGTCCCATTTGTAATGGTATTGCTTTCTCCCTACTTATTTTCAGGAGGATTTTTTCTTTTCTTTTTTTTTTTTTTTTTAGTTCTCCCATGAAACACTACGGTAAATATGAAAAGAAACTTTTTCTTTTTCTAGGAAGCACAGATCAAAGATCTTAACAAGAGAGAAGAACCAGTTTTCAATTCCTCGATGCCTTTGTGAGACTCCAGCTCTTGTCTTGCACAATTACGAGGAGGAATGTTTTGTGGGCACACTGAGATGAGCTGAAGACACCTTGGAAGCACGTGGCCCCCTGGAGGCGGGGCTGGGAGCCAGGGCGGCAAAGGGCACAGAGCCTGTCTTCAACAGGAACTGCTGCATTTCCCAAAAGTCAGTGAAACCAATGGGAAGTCAGAGACTGGAAAGTGGGTTTTTGCCTTCCTTGGCAAGGTTTCTAAAATCTGGAGAAGGTGATGAGGAGTGATGTGCATTATTTTTCATATTTGTAAATAAGTTGTCACCAGCATCATTGATGTGCCATTTTATTTTTTTTTTAAGTTTATTTATTTATTGTGAGAGTGAGAACAGAGTGAGAGGGGGAGAGAAAATTCCAATCAGGCTCGCCACTGTCAGCGCAGAGCCTGATGCGGGGCTCGAACTCGCCAACCGTCAGATCATGCCCTGAGCTGAAACTGAGAGTCAGATGCTTAACCGACTGAGCCACCCAGGTGCCCCCTTGATACGCCATTTTAATGCATGCTATCTTTCCTGTGGTCACTGGGTCGCCTCGGGTGGCTGTGGCTAATCACTGGGGGTGAGCTGGGCCCTAGTCCTTGAACAGGTGAAGGTGTCTTCCTTACATTAAGGAACCCTGGGAGGGCTGACACCGCGGCAGGTGCCCTCTGGGGTGGGGGTGGGGGACTGGCACCCACACAGCTTCCAAGGCGGACCCCGTGCTGGAGGGATGCAGAGCCGGGGACAAGGAGCTTGGGCACAGGCCCTGAGAATTCTCAGCCAGAGGCACAGACCAGCCAGGTTGCACCGGGAGAGTTCCCTGCCAATCAGAGCCAGGCGCCCCTCTCATCTCCACCAATCAGAGCTTGCACCACCACACCCTCCCACTACCCTCCTCCGGCCAATCAAAGCTAAGCTTCCCACTCCTATCCACCAATCAAGCTGCGAGCTAAGAAAGACCACTCTTGTCATCAAAGCCCACATGGATTCACTTCATCCTGTAGCTTCGCGGTGAATTTCCGCGCGGAGAGCTGGGTCTCCAGGTCTTTATTGCGTCGTTCCTGTTATTTGTAGGAGGAAGAGAGGATCGAAGGGAAGGAAGGACGGGGCAATCTTCAGGGTTCAAATTTAAGAGAGCTGTTCTCTTGTTAAAGAACTCCAGGTGTGCCCGGAAACAAAGTGCAGGCAGAGGAGGCAGGTGGCTTCCTGCAGGTGGGGCTTCGAGCACCCGCGTCGGAAAGCCCCAGGTCGTCCCGCTTGGCTCTTCCTCGGGACGCTGCCCTCCGGGCCACATGTTCGACTTTCACGTTCCCCTTGTTTTCTCGTTCCAGCAGCTTCGGGCGCATGCTGTTCGGGACTGTGTGGTTCGGCTGCAGTCCTCCGTCTGCAGGAGCTCTTCTTGTCTTTCAGATTCCCCTTGCTGCCCTAAAACCAGATTAACGGAGAGCCCTCCAGACAGCTGACCACGTCACCAGCCGCGAAGGGGCTCAAGCATCACAAGAATAAATTGAGAACATTCTGCTGCAACTCAGATATTCATGGGACTCCTGACATTGCGGGTAAAGAAAGTGGTTTCTTATCCCATTCACTGAATGTAATTTATTTCCCCTTGAAACAAAAAGACCTAATTAAAAACAAAAACAAAAAACTAATCTTGTGCCATCCCCCACTCAAAGGCCCCCAAGTCATCGCCAATTAATATTTTTGTGCAAATGAAATTTCATTTTGAGGGGGCTTGATGAGGGCAAGGGGAGAACCCCATACAGGTTATTAACATAAAGAGAAATTTAATTTCCATTCTAAGAAACTGTCCTACAGCTGCCCGAGCTTCCGGGACTTCTGTCTAGAAAGAGATCTGCATATGTGGAAAAGAATTAGGGGTCTAATGGATGGTCATCAAAAGCCAATAGTGAGCATGTGAGTCTATATGCTAATGGCCTGGTGCAGGCCGCGTGGGTAAACATTTACTGGATAAAACCAGGATCGCAGGGTGAATGCAGCGATTCCCTTTGAGGAAAGATCCGTTGCCGCCTTTGCTGGGGTGCTGACCACAGTGACTCTACTTGGTGACCCAGCTCCAGCTTCAGCTGGGCAGCGATGACCCCTAGGGATGGTCCCTCAAGATAGCTCTGAGTCTGTTTCATAAATCAGCCCTGCGGCAGGCTCACGTGTTTCCCCAATAAAAGATTCCAAAGACTAGGTGGGCCGCTGCATCTTGGCTAGAGACTTCTGGAATTGTCTCAGCCTCCGGGAGCTGCCTCTCCGAGACCCCTGCCCTACTCAACGTGGCCCACATTCAGGGAAGGATCAAAGCCGGGGTATGAATGGCCATCTCAGCCCGAATCAAAGCATCTAGCTCCAGAGATCCCTGCAGGCTGGTCAAGGCCATCCTGGATTCTGCGCTGGAGACCCACTTCTCCTGCCCACTCCTGCTTTGGGCCCCTCTCTCCCAGAGTTGGTCTTAAGGACACTTCTTTATAACCATCGTGCACATGAACTAGTACTTCAGAGTCTACTTCCCAGGGAACTAGCCTGCAAAGATGTTGTGCCGGTTCTCTGCTCTGTACTCATTCTATTCACATTTACAGAGCTGCCTTCAGAATCTGGACAAAGATTTTGTTCCATCTCCAGAGCTTTCTACCAGTCAATGCTACCTGAAATGAAAGAGGCATCCCATGAAGATGCGATCTCCAAAGAGGAGATAGATGTTCAGAGAAAAATGCTACTGGAAAGAGAAGGGGTAAGTAAAGGAATGAAATCAAGAATACTACGGGCACAGGGCACCTGGGTGCCTCAGTCATTGAGCGTCTGACTCTTCATTTTGGCTCAGGTCATGATCTCTTGGTTTGTGAGACAGCCGTGTGTCAGGGTCCACAGAGCCTGCTTGGGATTCTCTCTCTCCCTCTCTCTCTCTGCCCCTCCCCCACTTGCTCTCTCTCTCTCAAAATAAATAAGTAAACATTAAAAAAGAAGAATACTAAAGGTGGATTGACTGGTTGTTCTCCAGAGTCCCTTCCTACACCAAGACCTTGCTATGTGGAGTAGTTCGCTGAAGCTACCATGACAAAACACAGAAGATGGGGTACAAAATACAACAAAAGTGCATTTTTTTCTCACAGTTCTGGAAGCTAGAAGTCCACGATCAAGGTGCCAGGTTGGTTTGGTTTCTCTGGTGGCCTCTCTCCTTGGCTGTGTTCTCCCTGTCTTCAGACGGTCCTCTGTGTCTGTATCCTAATCTCCTCGGGCACCAGTCATAATGGGTGAGGGCCCAGCCACATGACCTCACTTTACCTTCATTACCTGTTTAAAGGCCCTATTTCTAAATACAGTCATGTTTGGTGGTAGTAAGGTTAGGACTCCAACATATGAATTTGGAGAGGCTGCAATTCAGCCGTAACAGTATCCCAAGGTCTTACTGTATCCTAGATATAGAGCACCCGTTAGTACACATCCAGCCCAGTCTTATTATAAAAGGCCAAAGTCAACATTTAACTAGATAAGACAGAGTTGGCCAAGGTTATGTATAAAGGAGTAATCTATAAAGTTACAGAATTTTAACTGCTAAATAAGTAGTTCGTTGGTAGCCTTTTAAAAATAATGCTCTCTTCCTAAGTCTAGTAGCTATGAATATCATCATATCCGCCCTACTTAATCCAGGTAATTTGAATACTGGCCAGAGAAGCCAGGGCGCACGCGTGCGTGCACACACACACACACACACACACATTTGCACCAATGTATATTCACATACAAACCTGGACTCCATACCTAAGGCACAAGGGGACTTTCTAGAGATAATAGGATAGCTGGATTTTTCTGGGGATACTGAGTACAGGAGGGACAAACAGCTACTGTGATGGCCTTACCTCTTGTATTCACTCAATAGTCATTTATTCATCTGTTCAGACAATATTGATTGGCTTCCAACTACGTGGAAAGATGTGCTAATGGATTTGGAAAAAACAGCCTTGTAAAAACCCACATCCCATAAGCTTTCAGGAGCGATGACGCCGCAAAGCCCGGGCTTTGTCATCACAAGGACTGGGCTCAAGCCCCAGCTCCAGACTGTGTCAGCTATGTGACCTTGGGCAAGTCACTCACCCTCTCTAAGACTCAGTTTCCTCATTTGTACAATGGGGACAGTAATAACACTGTATCTGTTGGCATCCCCAAGCGGTGCCTCAGCGGAAGCTTTTGCCGATCCTCCATGACTGCTACCAGCATCCTCCAAAGCCACCGTGAAGAGGCAGGAGACCTAAGAAAAATGAGTGCCTTAACTGGCACGTCCATCTCCCTCTTCCAATTAGATGGCAGCCCTGAAGACTCTCCTATATTGAAATCTTTGAGCTACCAATTGGTTGTCTACACTCACAATTAAATGAGGTAATGCATGCAACGTGCTATCTTGTGTCATTGGCGAAAAATGTTAGCTCTTATTAAGGCATTTTGTGGTAAGGGCCATAAGGGTATGGTGACTGACTCATCCTGATTTCCCCTCATCCATCTCAGGACACCCCCTTCCAACCCCAGGGCCAGACTAACCTACGAGGATGTTAAAGAATGTTACCTGTAAGGGATGTGAGGATCCACAAAGAGAAAGGGTCACTATTAGTTTTGTTCTGTTTTGTTTTGTTTTGTTTAAGAATAAGGAATACTAGGGGCGCCTGGGTGGCTTAGTCGGTTAAGCGTCCGACTTTCGCTTAGGTCACGATCTCGCGGTTCGTGGGTTCGAGCCCCGCGTCGGGCTCTGTGCTGACTGCCGGCTCAGAGCCTGGAGCCTGTTTCAATCTGTGACTCCCTCTCTCTCTGACCCTCCCCTGCTCATGCTGTCTCTCTCTCTCTCTCCTAGAAATAAATAAAACATTTAAAAAAAAAAAAAAAAGAATAAGGAATACTATTGTGAACGGTGTAAGATTTGATCTGGTCCCTGAAGGATAGCCAATCCAAATGCAAAGAATGAACCGAAGATATGTAGGTGAGGAAGAGGAAGGCGCATTCGATTAACAGGCAGATGCCCTCCCAGGGATGGAAAGTGGGATCTTTGCTGGGGTGCAGTGGGTATTAAGGCCAGAAGGGAACGTCAGTGCTAAAATCCACTGGATTTATAGGTAGTCTGGAGCGGCTGAGGCTGGGATTCAGTAGTCCCTGGGAGAGTGCGGAGAGGTCCTAGGCTGATCCGTGAGATGATCAGAAATACTTCAAGGGGATGGCTCAGCTATAGCCTAGTAACCACTAAGAGAAAGCTGAATTGGAGAAGGGAGAGATTCGGGGAAGGAAACCAGAAGGAAGGAAGCAGATAAAACTGCCCAGAGGAGAGCAATGAAGACCTGAGGCATTGACCGTGAGGCTGGCAGGAGGGCTGTGGATAAAGAAACCTACGAGGAAGATGCGCCCCTGGGGGCTTGGCTGACGATTGCTGGTAGAGAGCAAGAGTGGAAAAGGAGTCGAATTATGTCATGGCCACTTTAACTACAAACAGTAAAGAAATAAGAAAGAGGGGCTCAGAGGGAGAGGGAAACCTGAACTTGACGTCAGAGTTGTTGACAGAATTGTTGGGGTAGCCAGACCCCCAGATGGAGATGTTCAGCAGAAATGGTCCAGGTTGGGGCGCCTGGGTGGCTTAGTCGGTTAAGCGTCCGACTTTCCGACTTTCGCTTAGGTCATGATCTCGCGGTTCGTGGGTTCGAGCCCCGCGTCGGGCTCTGTGCTGACTGCCAGCTCAGAGCCTGGAGCCTGTTTCAGTCTGTGACTCCCTCTCTCTGACCCTCCCCTGCTCACGCTCTTTCTCTCTCCTAGAAATAAATAAAAACATTAAAAAAAAAAAAATGGTCCAGGTCTCAGGTCTGAGTGGGCTTGGAGCCCCGCCCCAGAGATGGGAGCCCCAGGCGAGGCAGAGGAGGGGCGCGCCGTGGGTGGTGGTGGGGCCAGGTGTGTAACGTAGCCAGAGCAGGGATGTAGAGGGCATAGGAAAAGCCAGAGAGAGAGCAGAGGACACATTTTTCATTCATGTATCCGTCCAGATGTAGGGTGTATTAGAATCTGCCCCAGCAGTCCGAGGTTCAAGCTCACTTGGCGAGGCTGACAGTGAGGAGTCCGCTAGAAGGCTGTGGGGGCCCAGAGCAGGATTCTGGCTTCCGGGCTCCAGGGCTGGAGCGGAGAGCATCCTAAGGTCAACAAAATCAAGCAAATCAGAGGACAAGAAGCAGCAGCTCTGAAGAAAGAGTTTTGAATTAAGAAAGCTGTGAGATCAGAAGTCAGATTAGAAGAGGTAAAGAAAACAATAGATGGTGAGGATATGGGGATAGAACTAGATTAGCAACTTGTTTTTCAGAACAATAATATCCTGAGGTGCTAGGGTGCCTCAACCAGTTAAGCATCTGACTTTGGCTCAGATCATGATCTCACCGTTTGTGAGTTTAAGCCCTGCACTGTCAGTGCGGAGCCTGCTTCAAATCTTCTGTCTCCCTCTCTCTCTGCCCCTCCCCCACTCACACTCTGTCTCTCTCAAAAATAAACAACAAAATAAAACAATAATATCTGGTTTGGGCTGGCGTGTCCTGAGGGTGTGCTCAGAAAAGGCAAACATGTCCACAACTGGGTAAAGATAAATTTGTACAAATCCTCTGGCTAATAATTTGATAAAATAACAAAAGCCTTAAAAATGTTTACCCCCTGACCCAGTAATTA